CATCTGAAGATAACAGGATTAGAAAGTAGAATTTAAATTTCATATCAATACTACCGTTTTTCTCCCTCTTTTCCCTCCTTCCCGTTAATACTTCACACTCCAGTCCAGTTGGTGGCGGTAATTCACCATAAGTTGGCTTGTCAACCGCCATTAAATCATACAAGAAGAAGAAGAAGATTGGAAACATGAAAAGATTAAAGGGGTCCTATTATGCTCTTTTACAAAGTCTTGATTTTGTTTTGGGGGTGTACTAGAACAGGCTCTCATACTAGGTTGTTCGAAAAACACATTATTTTTCACATATTTTACATTATTACAACACCTCTCTCCCCAGTCTGGCACGAACGGCTGGAATAGTTCCTGTATCAAATGCAGGCCCGCCTTCTGAAATACGAAATGTGCTGTGATTGGTTATCTGGGCCAGTGTGTGTTGTGATTGGTTCACTGGGCCAGTGTGTATTGTGATTGGCAGCATTCGGCGCCTGGTCGGGAAATTTCATCCCCTTACCATAGCCGCCTGCGAGCTTCAGTGTAAATACTGAGTCAAAATCAAATCAATTTGAGCGTGATTTAAACCCGGATGATTGTAACCACTCTAAGTTCGTCTGTCTTGGGAAAGCTAGCGTGTCTCCGACACAGTGATAACACTCGTTGCCTTCTCTAGTGCAGCTCAATCAGGTCTCGTCCCATTTGTCGGTATTTGATATCACAAATCCCGGAAAATATGCGTTGTAGTCCAAACGAGCCGTTCGTTGTAGTTTTTGAAAAGTGATTTCTGTTAAATAAAATATCTCCTTTTGAAATGGACTTTGAGCTTTGTAACTTTGCAGATCTTTTTTATGCTCAAACAGCAACATTACAGACTAACTAAAGTTGAAGGCGTGAAAAACCATAATAGGACCCCTTTAAGTTTTCAAAGCTTCGTTTCCAACGCGCCTGCCACGCACTTGATTTCCCATTCACAAAAACAAAGCTTTTTGCTTCGTTTAGAGGTGACAGCCATAAAAAAGGACAAAGATAATCGCTTCCACCCTTCATGCAGGCTCTTGGTGAAAACAGCCATCTTGAAAGAAAACAGTTCAAAACAGGCAGCACTTTAAACGTGAGTGACCCGTATACACACAAAGACATGCCGGCCTGATTACACACCCAAAAACACATGCATGCCTGTCGGATCTCATGGTTCCGAGCTCTCTATAGTCTCTGGACCCTGTCAACACAATTTACTTAACATTCACATAAACAATTCTTTCTCATAAATCCTCGAAAGGAGGGTGCAAATGTATAAACATGTTTAGAATGGGTATATCAACAGAAAACTGGTTGTACTCTGACAAGCCTTTTAATTCAGTATTCCTTTTTAATAGCAATTGAATGGTGGCTGCTGATTATTGAAAGTTTGCATGAAACAGTATGGATGTGCCATATTAACCAAAGGATTTAGTGAATCTGTACTGTTGTGGTTGACCAACGGTTTTTTTTTATGTTCATCGATGATATCTAGTAGGATACTTAAAAATACTGAGATCAAATTAATCTTTCATGTATTTTTTTACTAGCCAAGTAATCTCAAATTAGCACAAATGGGCCAGTTACACTATTATGAATCATATCTGATACATTAAGCCTCTAAATTATCAGCATGATCAAAACCTTGCTGAAAAACTGCACACAAAATGAGCCAAGTCACGTCGCAGTGGCAGAATAGACAGGAAGATGAAAGCAGCTGGAAGACTGACAGAGGAAATGAGGGTAGGAGAGGCGTCACCGCAGCAACCGACTCACACTGACAGGATCTTAACCAGGCGAGAGGGCATCAATCTTGGCTAAACAAACCTGCGCGTGATGGCTAAAACAGACAGTTGTCAAATTGTTATTTTGCTTATGGTATAGGCTGATAAATTTGACCGCTTATGCAATGCATAATTCAAAATACGGGTAAAACACCTGTAAAAAATAAATGTGGAAAAATGTTCCTTAATTATAACAGTACACTGGACTGTGTTTTTGTGGACTTTTCTTAGAGTGTATACATTACTTAATATATTATACTTATTTTTTCAAATGTTTTTGAAAGTGTACTTCATAATTATATACTTTAGCTTCTTGTGCTCACCAAGATATTTTGAAATATTATGGCAATTTAATATAACACTTTGTAATATATTTTAAAATGTAATTTATTTTACTTTTATTTATTTTACATTACTCCAGTCTTCAGTATCACAAGATCATTCTATTATGCTGATTTACTGCTTAATTATCATCACTGTGGAGTAAAAAAAAACAGGTGTACTATAATTTTTTTTTTTGATGAATAGAAAGTTCAAACAGATTTTATTTGGAATAGAAATCTTTTGTAACATTATAAATGTCTTTACTGTGACTTTTTATCATTTTAATTTGTATTTGCTGAATACAATTATTATTATTATTATTTTTTTAAATCCACCCAAAAAGTATATATTACTAACTAGTTAAATTGAGAAGCTATTTCTACTTCATCTGACTTTAGTTAGCAACCTGATTTGGTCAGATTCATTCGATCATATTGAATTATTTTTGATTTAGATAAAAATAGTTTATTTGGACATCACAACACAAAAATATTTTTTTAGGTTACCTGAAACAAATAACATTTTATTAAAAATCTATTTAAAAAATTTTTTTATTTGAATGTCTTCAGTAATTTCAGAAACAGTTTACAAGATTTTAATGTTTAATTCGCTTGCCCGAGAGCAAAATTGGAAAAGTATTTGTAATGAATTTTAAAATGGACTAATCACACAAATTTCAGAAGAATTATTGTTATAAAATGCGTGTTTTCCAGCTGATTTCCCAGTCTGTGGTTTGTTCACTGCTGGTTCTTTTCTGTAGAGCGCTGTAATCAGTTTAGCGCTTTAGCATTTCCTGGGAGATGCAGTCATGTGTAGAATAGAATGTAAAGGCTCATTTACTGCAAATAAAACTGCTATGATTCCACGTCCCCTCCCTGTGTTACGTGGATATCACTCTGCTGTGGTAACCAATGAGGAAACTGCTGTTTTGACTGCTGTCTTGGCTCACAGAGATCCCATCAGTTGTTTACGCCCCTACGGTGTCTGGGTGGACATGGGTGATGAATGCTTTCAAAATACTTGTCAAGGACTCTGTTTTTTGTACACAAACTGTACTCAAAGGTTCTCACCAACAGGTTTTTACAAGTTGACAATGAATGATGATTTGGGCTAAATATAGGTAGTAAAATTTAAATAAATGTGGAAAAATGTTCCTTAATTATAACAGTACACTGGACTGTGTTTTTGTGGACTTTTCTTAGAGTGTATACATTACTTAATATATTATACTTATTTTTTCAAATGTTTTTGAAAGTGTACTTCATAATTATATACTTTAGCTTCTTGTGCTCACCAAGATATTTTGAAATATTATGGCAATTTAATATAACACTTTGTAATATATTTTAAAATGTAATTTATTTTACTTTTATTTATTTTACATTACTCCAGTCTTCAGTATCACAAGATCATTCTATTATGCTGATTTACTGCTTAATTATCATCACTGTGGAGTAAAAAAAAACAGGTGTACTATAATTTTTTTTTTTGATGAATAGAAAGTTCAAACAGATTTTATTTGGAATAGAAATCTTTTGTAACATTATAAATGTCTTTACTGTGACTTTTTATCATTTTAATTTGTATTTGCTGAATACAATTATTATTATTATTTTTTTTTTAAATCCACCCAAAAAGTATATATTACTAACAAGTTAAATTGAGAAGCTATTTCTACTTCATCTGACTTTAGTTAGCAACCTGATTTGGTCAGATTCATTCGATCATATTGAATTATTTTTGATTTAGATAAAAATAGTTTATTTGGACATCACAACACAAAAATATTTTTTTAGGTTACCTGAAACAAATAACATTTTATTAAAAATCTATTTAAAAAATTTTTTTATTTGAATGTCTTCAGTAATTTCAGAAACAGTTTACAAGATTTTAATGTTTAATTCGCTTGCCCGAGAGCAAAATTGGAAAAGTATTTGTAATGAATTTTAAAATGGACTAATCACACAAATTTCAGAAGAATTATTGTTATAAAATGCGTGTTTTCCAGCTGATTTCCCAGTCTGTGGTTTGTTCACTGCTGGTTCTTTTCTGTAGAGCGCTGTAATCAGTTTAGCGCTTTAGCATTTCCTGGGAGATGCAGTCATGTGTAGAATAGAATGTAAAGGCTCATTTACTGCAAATAAAACTGCTATGATTCCACGTCCCCTCCCTGTGTTACGTGGATATCACTCTGCTGTGGTAACCAATGAGGAAACTGCTGTTTTGACTGCTGTCTTGGCTCACAGAGATCCCATCAGTTGTTTACGCCCCTACGGTGTCTGGGTGGACATGGGTGATGAATGCTTTCAAAATACTTGTCAAGGACTCTGTTTTTTGTACACAAACTGTACTCAAAGGTTCTCACCAACAGGTTTTTACAAGTTGACAATGAATGATGATTTGGGCTAAATATAGGTAGTAAAATTTAAAGTGGCATGTTTTTTTATAAATGTTCAAATAAGCCATTTGTTGTTTGATTTCAGCCCAATATGGCGACATTGGCTCAACCAATTGCATGAGTTTACACTCCTAAAAATAAAGGTTCCAAACTTCCAACAGAGCATTTACAAAGTAATGCCAAAGAAGAAGAATTTTTGGTTCCCCAAAGAACCTTTCAGTGAACAATCCTTAAAACAAACAATCTAAAGAAGCGTTTTCCACTATAAAGAATGGAAAGATTCCATGGAAGCTCAATGCCAGTAAAGAACCATTATTTTTGAGAGTGTAGGATTTTACTATCTGTTTGATCATTATTTCTGCTATTTTATCTTATTTGTGCAAAAATGGCACATTTCACCTTTAATATTATTCGAAATTAATTTTACAAAGGATGAAACAGAAGTTTTAGAAGTCACAATTCTTTTTAATATAAAACACCTTTAAATGTCACGTCATGAAGAATCCAGAGAAAGCGCCTTCGTAACTGCTTCCAAAGTGCGTTTTAGGAAGGACTCCAGCTTGACAGAACAAACAGTTTTTAGTTCATCTCTTCATACAGGAAATGTAGAGAACATGCATCACAAACACATCTTACAAAGTCCAAAGGGGGAGAAAAAAAAAGAACAAGAATGAACGAGTCTGGGGTTGAGTCAGTCTCCTTGATGCCAAATGGCACGTAGACGAACAGCAGTCTTGATGGGTGAAATTCATCAGACAGCTTTGCCGTTTTGGGTTTGAAAGGACAAAGCCCCTCCCTCTCTTAGATGGGTAGCTGAAGAAAGAGGAACGAGAATGCAAATGACCAGTCAGATTTAGGTGGGAATGAAAATGCGAACTTGATGTGCTTGTGTTTGTTGTGATTCCACTTTAAATGGGAATACATTAGGGTTTTTGTTCCATGCCAAGACTTAAATATGCATGTTTCTGAAAAAGACAAACAAATACACAAAAATACAGTCGGGTTTAATCTGTTATTGGGTTTTTCTAGTGGTTTTTATCACAGGCTCAAAGCTGATCCTGTTAAAAAATTATCAAAATTGAATAGAAACTTTCCATATATGAGTGGAAAAGATGTTTTTGCAAAGCTAGATCTCTTCTATCATCTCACACACAAAAAAAAACGTATGCTTCGTACAGATGCTCGTGAAGTGAGTCCAAGCGAGAATGTCAGAGATCCGCCTAAATTAACTTCTAATTGGCTTCTAAACTTCTAAAATCCTTTCTCAGTTAACTAGCAGACATGAGACTTTGTGGGTCAGACCACAGATGCGACTGAGGTGACGGACGTCACCTTGTTTTCTTCTGCCCAAGGCTGTAAGTTCTGCAGGGCGTAAAGCGAGGAGTTGTGTATGCAGAGAGGGTCTTGTTGGAGCGGCTGACTCAGGGTCTTCTGAAAGGCCTCCTGTTGGAGCTGCAGCATCAGACGGTTGGCTTGCTGTCGCTCAGCCTCTCTCTCCTCAGCGGTCTGCCTCCTGTCATCAGAGACGCATGATTGAAGTCAACATGATGTGCAGTGACAGAGACCCTTTTCAAATACAAAAGCAGATTATGTCAACTAACATGTTTATCTGGTGCAGGTCCTAGGCTGGTTTTAATTACCTTGAGAGATCTGAGTTCTCCGCATACACAAAAGAGATGTCATGCCTTTGTGAAAAATAACAATGTGTGCGTTATGACTAAAATCATTTTGAATGAAACACATGAATGTTAATGGTTCTGTACATTTAATAATGCCTTGAATGTACACATGAGGAGCCTATTGGAGCTGTCAGCAGTAAAGATGTGAGTATTATTATATAACAGTACATGACAAAACAATGATTGAATGCTATTTTATTGGTCCGGGGATCTGATATGTACTTTGATCGATCAAAAATGATTAATCTTTCTACCAACTGCATTAACTTAAAGGGATAGTTCATTCAAAATTTTTAATGTTACCATCATTAACTTCATGGCATGTGTCACTGTGATTTTCATTGTATGGACAAAAAAAAAAAAAAAACTATGAACACAGAAAGTCATATGGTTTGGAATGACATGGGGGTGAATAAATGATGACAGAATTGCAATTCTTGGGTGAACTGTCACCAAAAGTTTATTTAATTTGAATGAAGAAATGTAGATTTTTTTTTTTCATTTTAAATGTTGAAAGGCACATGCAGAAAGCATGATTTCGAAACACAGAGGGAGCAACAAGAAACAAGCAAATTAAAATAGTTTTGTCAGGCAACGTGAATTAATTTGTTTCTATTTTTATTTTATTGTATTGTTTGCATTTTTTGCACCAACAAAATCTATTTTAAGGTTAAAAATAGCTCATTTTTTCCACTTTTTTTAGATTAGGGTAATTTGTAATTTAAATCCAAATAAATATATATATATATATATATATATATATATATATATA